CTGGGGCTGAGAGAGTGTGCATGCATTTTTTTAATTTTTAATTTTTTTGTTTGTTTTTGTGCTTCAGCCCCCCAATTGTCTGAGGGACAGCAACCCGGCCCCCGGCTCAAAAAGGTTGCCTACCCCTGCTTTATACATTTATATCATAAACAGAGAGAGAGAAAAATCAGGCAGTTGAGATTCAGAATATACCCATTCCTTCCAATGTTACAGACTTGGAGAGGGGAACAGTGCAATTGTTGTTGTTGTTGTTGTTGTTGTTGTTGTTTACCTTCAAGTCATTTCTGACTTATGATAATGATAATGAGCTATCATTAAAAGTTTTATTTCCACCATCCTCCCCAACTCTCACTAGTAAAATGCAAGCCTATACTCTGTTAAAGGTGGTTGTGAACCTGTCCCATTGCTGTATAGCAGCAGCAGCAGCAGTTTACTCTTAATTTTTGGAATGATAACTTGCAGGTAGATTTGTGATATCCACTACAGCTGCTAGTTTGTAGGTTTTAGGACAAGAAATACAGCCTCATCCTCCTTCATTCTCATTACGACACAAGCAAATAAACTTGATAGACAACCTTTGCGCTCATTTGCTCTTGTATACAAATATTGTTCACAAGCTTGATTTTGCCATATAGGCATACACTCCTGCTTGTCTCAAGAAACTTTCATGCACATATCTCTTTCCTTAGTTCCCTGAAATATATATATGTTGACAGATGCAGACTCCTTAGCTCTCTATCTCACAAGCATACACTTGGGATGCAAAATAAGTGTTGGCATTTAGAGGTGTAAACTGTATTTGCCCTACCTTCTCACATCAAAATGTATGTGAGGAAAGCTAAAGTTGGAAGCAGAAAAATTTACTGCATCCAGCATCTTTTCTTCCAGCCAAACTGACAATTTAGGCAGTCATATCCCCAAAAGATAAGTCCTGGAAATGGAATAACAGACCCCTTCTGTTGTCTCAAAAATCTTAAGAGTTCCAAAGTTCCTTTCAGTTTATGAGAGGGTCCAAAATGGACTCACTGATAGCACCTTCCAAGGATTTTCCCACACTGCACCCTCCTGCCTTTCACCTTCTCTTTGAAAACACTTATGTTTTATGTTGTCCATTGACTTCAGTGAACCCTGTTGGTGAAATCATTATAATAGCTGTAGTTTGGAAATTGAAAAGGTGCCCCAATGCTAATGGTACTATAACCAGTGATGTGGAAGATGGCTTTCCTTCTTCTCCTTGCAAATCTTTCTTTATAAGGCAGTCATCTCACCTTCTTTCCCCATAGCTTAGAAATGTGGCTGTAATATCCCAGTGACCTAGGCTCAGGGCCATACCATAGTGGCTCCCAAAGGAGAGGGAATATGTATGAAGAGCTGCTTAGCATTATTTAGCTGATGCGATCTGGCAGGTTCTGCTGACAGCAGTTTGGCATAGAAATTTGGTTCTTCATTTTAAAATCCCTTTACACCTGAATAATGGATAAGGATTATCCTGTTCTGTAAATGGGTGCATTTCAAACTCTGGAGAAGTTTAACAAGATTATTTTAATTTGTACCATCTAAATATCCAGTATCTGTCCTTATAACATTACATGCTGGGGTTGAGAGGGGTATTTAAACAGTTCATAAACTATAAATACATTGTCTTGGAAAATGGCCTTGTTCTTCATTAGATGGTGCAGAACTAATTCTTTTTTAATGGGTTCTTACTATGAAAGAAAGAAATGTGAACAAAAGTTTTGACTTTTCTCCTCCATTCCCACACTCATTCACATGCAGTGTTTGCACAAAGATATTTCTGATTTTTGTTACTTGCTAGCCTTTGAACTTACTAAAGACTGCCATAGATGCCTTTTTCACCATAGGAATTAACTGTTGCAGAATATAAATAATATTTGTTTTATTAGTCTTTTTACATCAGAAGTAGTGTCACTGGTCCTATGAAGTTTTGCTTTGCTTTATTTGCTCATTAAATGTTTTATAAATAGTGACAGACTTGTCCTGAATTACCAGGATTAGGGAAAATAGCCTAAATAATGTCATTCCATCTTGCACTTTCAGTGTTTCTGCTGTAGAGGTTTGGACTTCACATGCATTTGTATGAACACACAGGGAGCAAAAATAGCCAGGCTTTTGACTGTTATTGATATTATTGATGCTTATTAGCAAGCCAGAATACCTGAATTTTATATTTAAATAATGGGTCTAGCATGGGAAAGCTTAGTTCTTCCAGATGTTTTGGCCTACAGCTCTCTTCAAACCGATCCAGCATGATAAGGTATGGTGGGAATTGTAGTCCAAAATATCTGGAGGGCCAGATGATTCACACCCCTGGTTTAGATCTACTGAACTGATGTTAAATGCCATCAAGTTGACTTCAACCTGTGG